GAGTACTGAGACACCATTTTTACCTGACACAGGACACATTAAAAAAATTGAGCTAATATAGTTTATTGTTAGCCCAACACTATACTGGCACTCCATTCAAGTATTCTTATGAGTATACATCCATAGATTATACCGTGAATTAAGATGAACATTGAACAAGCTGACTGAATTTGCAATTAGGCTTATATCAAGTTCTAGGCACCTTTGCATTAAGTGTCTCTAATGAAACGTCCTTCTAAATCATTGATGGAGCCACATAAAGACCTAAAACACATCTACATGTATCAAGGAGATCATGAATTATGGATGCACTCAACAGAGACCTGGAGGAAAAATGCATTATACAAAACTTCAGCTCCACTTGAGTCATACTGCTCTCAGAATACTGTGCTCAAGACTTTCAATAGATCTACAATAAACCAAAACGTATTATGAACTTAAACCAAGAAACCTGTATGATAGGTAATCTGGTGCTGTGGATGAAATCTAGCCATCGTAGCAGTCAACAAACTCCACGGATGTGTATAAGAGGCTGGGTAACAGGAGGTAGAGCTGACAGATTTAATCTACCGGCCAGCCAGGAGAGGGCCATGAGCGCTTCTCCTAGATCGGGGTGCGGAATGGGTCGCACTTGTTTTCCTGAGCTTCAGCCTGCATTTTAACAAGTGCGATAAATCACGGCACACATCTGAGCACAAAGGCTGTCTCACTGAGCTCCTTCACCGGCCAAAAACGCCCAGCTCTGCTGACCCAGCAGCGTGCTTGAAAGGTCTTCAAGACACTCGAGACGTCTCCACATATTACAAACCTTATCATGTTCTGAATAATGAAAATTGGTGTGAAAAAAACTCACAATGTGGTGCGTGTTATATGTTATATGAGTGTTGGGTTGATTCAGTGCAGTCCGGAATACCTGGACAGAGTTAGCCGTTAGCATTCCCATGGCACATGCACCTGGAAGTACATGTATGCTGCAATCTTTGCTCATGGACACTCAGTTCTGGACACATTTTTTGAAGCCAATTACTTGAGCTGTAAATATCATGTGACTTTTAACATTATATATATATATATA